TACAAGCACCAATAGATAACATTTCATGTAATTAGGCACATCAGTGTTAGGTCTTAAACTAGTGTAAATTGAAACACTGCCTCAGTAGATGTTTTGAGTCTGACTAAAATTTACAGTTGACCTAATAATAAAAAAAGTAATTCTTTACCACCTTTATTTTAGATAAGGTTAGTAATATGTAATATGTATTTTTCTTCCTTCCTTCCTTCTTTCCTTCAGGAGAACATATCACTAACGTAGGAAGTTATTAATTCTTCGCGTCATTGTCTTTGCAGGAACAAATTCGAAGGGAAGCGTACGTGACCAATGAACTGATTGTTGAACAGGAGCTGCGGAGAGCAAGAGAAGTAAACACCACAGCCAGCTCCTCTCCGCGCTCCCCCCTGAGGCGCCAGTACTCAGAGCCAGCAAGGAACAGAAATGTTCAGGATGTGCGCTTTAGGATCGGTAACAATAAGGATGACTTTGCCACCAACGTGTAGGATTTTACAGGAATTTTAAAAGTGCCTGCATCCTTATGAAAGGCTTATATTTGTTCAGTTACTTCTATGTTCTTTCACTTAATTTTTATTAATTTATTTTTTTTTATTTTTTATTTATTTATTTTTTTATTTTTTTTTATTTTTTTTTTTCTGAAGCAGGTCAGTTACTTAAATAGTCCTTCCATTGTTTTTCTGGCACACATTCAATGTACAACATAACACAATACAAATACAGAGATTACAATAGTTTTAGTGCGATGCAGCTGTCCACTAAGATACACATGTATGCAGGGAGGACCTCTCAGTCATCTTCCTGACTTTTTTTTTTTTCTAGATAGAGGATTCGTGATTGAAGTCAGCAGAAGATGAAGGACTTATTGGTGATACTGGATACTTAAAGAGGTATTTAGGTTGTATGCGTAAAATATGTGGACTTGCAGATAATACCTGCAGTTTACTTTCGTGTCTGTTAAAAGGAAAGCCCATGCTACAGTAAAGGAATTTTGAACATGTATGTGTTACATTTCTGGGTAACGTGGTGTGTATTACATTATTTTATTTCTGTGGAAAAGGAATATTGCTACACCTGTTTTAATGATCTGGTCAGTCTCTTAAAAGTGATTTTATTGGATACTAATATGTAATTGATGTTTCAAAAAAAATTTATGTAAATAATTGTGATAAGGCATTCAATTTTCAGTCATGTTAACACTTTTGTAAATGTTAACTGTGTCTTTGTTTCTGGAGCCTAATTGCTAGTCAATTTGGTGGTCTTTTTTTATATAGCTGTCTAACTTTATGCAAAGGAAAGATCTTATCTATCACTAAACATACATGCATATCTCTTTATATGTATGTCTCACTCCTCTCCTCTCTCAGATGTTTTTCCATCTAACATTTTCCATGTGCTCATGAAAAGTCAGATCACCTCATACTCAGATTTAAAAGGATCAAGGACACTTTTGTCTGGGGAAAAGAAGGCCCTCCTTGGAAGCTTTGCAGTTAGTGTTAAAATTTGAACTATTAGCTTAGACATCCTTCTTTAAGAAAATGTTTAGTTTCTTTCTCACTGTCACCCTGGAAATTCTGGAGGGACACATGGAAATTAAATGCTGTATCAGTGCACTCTCAGACATGGAATCATCCAGAGTCAAAATCCATGTAGACATAAGTGACATGTCCTTAGAGGAACATGTTTACTAAGCCATAGGAAGATGCAGTAGGGTGGCCAGTTTCTTTTCACCCAAACTTTAACGCCATCAGCTGATGCTTGAATTCTCTCACAGCTGGGAGGAGCATGGCCAGCTAGGAACTGAGGACCTTGCAGTTGTAATGCCAGTGTTCTACCTCTAAGCTACACCATCTCCACAAAATTACTAGTGGAATAGGTAAAGATGTATTGATAATTAGGAATAGTTTTAAGCAAAATTAGTATGATTCTCCCCAACACTCTTTCCTGTTCATGTGCCTTAAGTTGTTTGAGTTTTTCCCTCCCGAATAAAGATAAGCATATTGTAAATCATTCGTTTATATGGAGAGTGAAGTGAAATGATTGTTGATTGTGAGATTTCGTCCAAAAGGAGGATCTAGTCGTTTGTTGTTTGGAGGAAAGTTTTTTTTGGCTTTGTATCCTAAATGTTGCATGAGGAGTTTTTTAAAAGTCTGATACCAACCTTAAAGGAAAAAATGAGAGGTCAAGGTATATTTTTTGATGTTGCAGTTATCAGAGAGCACCTAGTTAGTATATGTATGACAAGTTCTAGAGTATAGCTTAGTCAAAAAATGGTTTGGATCATTAATACTTTAATAAGTGGAACAAGAACTGCTGGGTATTTCTGATGCATGGAGAAGTGACTGATTTTTATGTTTGGGTTTGTTGGATGTTTTATCAATTTAAATAGACGTTTCAGCATTTGAGTTCAACTTCAGTGGGGGAATTCAGCACATCGATTGATTTTTTAATTATTACCGGTAATTGAGGGTGATATTGAGAATACAGATTTCATTTCATTAGCATT